TCACTGACTCTAAAACTTTCAACATGTAAACTTGATTTGAGCTTGAAACAGTGTTTCAAAACACACGACAAAAAATACAAAGAGGTAAATAAAAGCTCAGGAACAGGTTAGTTTAAAATATTCTTATAATTTAGTTTTACGTACTTCTCACTTACAGCAATTATTACTTATACTTAAACAGAAAACTTAGGTATTGCCTAAATTCATCAAAGGATCTCAAATTAATCTTAATTCTGTAAATCTAAAATTACATAATTCAGCAAGTCAATCTAATAACATGTCTGTAAAAGTGTTAAGAAGAAAAAACACAATAGATTAATTCCAGGTGAGATGGAGTAAGCACACTCTCCCCTCTCTCCCCTGAAGAATGCAGCTATTAAACCTGGACAAAATAAATGAAGCAGCTATTTAAGAATTCCAAAAAGGAAATAGCGGGAGGATTTGGGGAAGAATCTGAACTATCACCAAAGCAGCAGTGAATACATCATTTTCTTCCCCTCCATTATCCCCCAGACTGGACTCAATGCAGCCTAAAATCCAGGAGTGGACAACTGCATGGTCAGAGAGCTTTAGGAGAAGCCTGGCTCGAAAAAAGAAAAGGTCTCTGAATGGTCAGAGTGAACAGGGGAAAATCCTTCAATCCTCATTTTTTCCCTTCTTTTCTGCATTCCCTCATTCCCTAGCCCTTAGCTAATTCCATCATATTAACAGCCTGAAGAAGAAAAATCACATGATCATATCAACTGATTCAGCAAAAGCATCTGATGAAATCAAAACATACATTCATAATAAAAATTCTCAGCAAACTATGGATAGAAGGGAACTTTCTTAACCTGAAAACGGCATTTATAGAAAGATCAACAGTTAACATTACACTTAATATTGAAAGACTAAATGAAAGGTCAGCAGCAAAGCAAGGATGTCTACTCTTACCATTCCTATTCAACATCAGGTACTACAAAGTCTCTGCCAGTGGGGGAAGAAAAAGGCACAGAGATGGGAAATAAAGAAACAAACTGCAACACTGCTGAGAACATTAAAGACCACCTAAATAGAGGCACACAGTGACCATGAATTGGAAGACTCTACACAGAAAAAATATCCATTCTCCCCAAATTGATCTATAAATGTAATGCAATTCTAATAGAATTCCAGCAGGATTCTTCTTAGAATAGATGAGCTGATTCTAAAAGTTATGTGGCAAGGTAAAGGGACTAAAATTGCCAACACAAATTTTGAAAAGTAAGAATAAAGTTGGAAGAATCACACTACTTGATTTAGAGTTTACTGTAAAAACTACAGTCATCAAGATAGTGTGGTACTGGTAAAGGGACAGACACAAAGATCAACAGAATAGAGATTCCAGAAATAGATCCACACAAATATAACCAACAGATTTTCGACAAATGTATGAAAGTAATTCAATGAAGAAAGAACAGTCTTTCTAAAAAGTGGTATTGGAACAACTGGATATCAAAAGGGAAAATAAACAAACTTCAATAATCTAAACCTCATATTTAATTCAAAATTTAACTCAGAGTGGATCATAGATCTAAAAGTGAATGTAAAATATAAAACTTTTAAGAAAAAAAAAATGAGAAAATATTTGTTGCCTAGAATTAAAGAGCTTTTAGATACGATGTGAAAAGCATGATCCATAAAAGAAAAAAAACTGAAAAACTGGACTTCATCAAAATTGAACAGTTTTGCACTTTTGGAGAATGAGGACAAGCTACAGAGAAAAATATCTACAAATTATATATTTGACAAAGGAATTGTACCCAGAATGTGTAAGACCGCTCAAAACTCAACAGCAACCAAACAATCCAATTAAAAGATAAGCAAAAGACTGGAACAAACATTCCACATATATACGTGGCAAATAAGCACATGAAAAGATGTTTAACATCATTAGCCATTAGGAAAAATGAAAATTAAAACTACATTGAAGTACCACTATATCCCTATTAAAATGGCTAAAATAAAAAATGCTTAATAGGATAAGGAACAACTGAAAGTCTCGTATTTTGCTAGTGCAAAATGTAAAGTGTATTGTAACAACATTAGAAAACTTTTTTTTAAAGTTTCTTATAAACTTTAACATTAACTTATCATTATGACCCAGCAATCCCACTTCTTGGGCTTTACTCTAGAGAAATTAAAAGTTTATGTTTACACAAAAACCTGCACATAAATGTTTATATATCAGCTCAATACATAATCACCCCAAACTGG